TAAAATAGATTTGTGACAAATAGAGACCGCGGGCGCCATATAGTTTGTTTGAGTGGCGTTGCCATGATGTGACGTCATCGGGAGGCGCAGGGACCATGGAGAATTTCTTCGTAAAATTGTCCGTTTACAAACCGCAATCCCGCTTTCGAATAAAACCTACACCCCGCTATAATTACTTTAGTAAGCTGTCCAGACCAATCAAAATGTTTTGTGCAATTGTGCAAACGTTAAAACAATTATGTATTGTGACATCATCAAAAGGCGCATGCCCCCGGGTCAATCTGGCAGCCCGAGTCAATCTGGTACCTACACTGGCCAATAGGGGGCGGGGCTAAAAATGAATACCTGCTGTTGCACATTTCTGGCAGAATTTAAAAATTTATTTTAATTGTCTACACAGTTATAAAACAAAAAGTATTGTTAAAAAAAAAAATTTGAAACACGTTTTAGACATTTTTTGAAGGGTGTGTGGATGAAACACCATGTGACTGTGTTTGGGCCATTTCTATAAATAGATAAACATCAGCTGGTGTGAGCTGGGCCCGGTACTGGGCCCACCGGCCTTAAGGGGTTAAATGTATCTGTTAATTTTCTCTCAGGTGGTTGGTACGTTTACCAGCAGAGGAATGAGGTCCACAACAACTGCGGCATTGAGATCTACTACCAGACAGACATGCAGACCACCAACGACAACATGCTGCTGGAGCTGTTCTGCCAGATCATCTCTGAGCCCTGCTTCAACACTCTGAGGACCAAAGAACAGCTGGGTGAGGCTGCCCAGCATTCATCCTCTGGATCCATTTTCTGAGAGTCGTTTAGATCATATTTTGAGACCCCCAAATTACCCCTTACAATTCTTTATCATCTAAAGGTGTTTTGTCTCATCCCTCCAAGGTTACATTGTCTTTAGCGGGCCCCGTCGAGCAAACGGAGTTCAAGGCCTTCGCTTCATCATCCAGTCGGAGAAGGCCCCCCACTACCTGGAGAGCCGCGTGGAGGCCTTCCTCTCCACCATGGAAAAGGCTTTGGAGCAAATGAGCGATGAAGCCTTCCAGAAACACATCCAGGCCCTGGCCATCCGGCGCCTGGATAAGCCCAAGAAGCTGTCTGCCGAGTGTGCCAAATATTGGGGGGAGATCATCTCTCAGCAGTATAATTTTGACAGAGGTAAGAGCTCTAGATGTTCCTCTTTACTGCCACGCCAAATCTACAGTGATTGGAAATGAGTTACACCTTGAAAAATCTGCTGCATTGATCTTCCTCTTTGGGGGAAAAAAAGCTGCTAGACGATGGTTTGCTAAGAAGCTTATAAACATTCAGCAAACATGACGAAGGAGGAGCTCTGATCAGATTAGAACGACTGAATTCAATCAGGATTCTGTCTTTGGATAAACTTATTATGCTTTAGACAGAAACCAGAGTAAAAATGCATCCCACACTTTTCAGATTTCACTAATCAGTTACATCAATCCTACATGCTGTTCAGCTGCTGGGTTAGTTCAATGGAGAACAAAGGAGTTCCTCTCCTCTGAGCTGGTCCTCACACATAGATATTTACTGTACTGTGTCGATGTAAGGAAGTACTGGAAATGTGTTAAATTGAAGCGTTTTTCTTCACCATTATTGTTAACTGAGTTACTGTTGATGCTTCTTCTGAAATGCCTCCAGCTAATCATGTTGGCACTTCTGCTTGACTTGCAGATAACATTGAAGTTGCACATCTGAAGACGCTGACAAAAGAAAACATAATGCAGTTCTACAGAGTGAGTAGCACACCTTCTACGACGAACTCTATCGGTTTGAAACGTTTTCACTTTTTCTCGGGATTCTTCTTTAATTTTCAAATTTCACCTCATCGCTCCGGACGAGGGTCCAGATTTAATAAATTCTTAAATTAGGAATTCGAAGGTTTATTTTTGAATGGCTCATGTAGATCTCAAATGGGGATCTCACCTCATTTTGTGTTTTATTACACGGAGAAAACATTGAAATAATTTCCCGTCCACATTTTTTGCTTATGCATTTAGAGTGTTTTTGTAAATATAAGCTTATTACTATATTGTTTAGTATCTACTGGTCAGAAACTATTCAACTAAAAAAAAAATAAATAAAAAAATGCATTTTTACCACACTACCCTGAACCTTTGAGGTGGAAATCACATAAATTAAGGTTTTCTCAGACAGGCAGTGACAGCTTTAGAAAAAGGCCAAAAACATTGAAATCGCACCCATCAAGCACTAATATCCAATTATTTAGGTGAAACTAACTTTCCAACTTTTGGAGTTCTGGATAGAGCAAATCGACAAGATGATTTATTTATTTTTTTTTTATCTTAAACGCAAGATGTTTATTTATTTATTTTTTTTTTAT